CATCTACATATAAAATTTTAAAAAAGTAAAATAAAAAATAAAGAAAAGAAAGCATGCAATATTTAACGAAGTTATTTTGTGTGTGTGTGTGTGTGTGTGTGTGTGTGTGTCTGTGTGTCTGTGTGTATGTGAGTGTGTCTGTGAGGAGGTCCCTGTGCACCATGGAGCTCAGACGCAGGAAAGAGGACAACAAGTCTGTTCTCTCCCTCCACCACGTTGCTCCTGGAATCACACTCAGGTCATCAGGTTGAGGGGCAAGCATCGTTACCTGCTGAGCCATCTTAATGGCTCCTAAAGTGCATATATTGCCGAAAGCAGAGCCTTTGCTGTGGCAGAGTTTAGAGGTAGGGAGTGTAAACCTTTGTTTTACAAAGGAAGAACTGGATTCCCTCAAGAGCTGGCATCAGTGGTGAGCATGGTCAGGACTGCAACTCTTGCCTTTTTAGTTCTGTCTCTACTCTGCTCAACCAAGCTTCCCCAGGTGAACTGCCTTCCTTCTAGAATCATCTGGAAGCTAGAGTCTATCTTCTGTCAACAAATACCCCAATTGAACTGCCGCTGAGGGGCAATATAAACACAACCTGTCCTAATGAGATTTCTGGCTGGATTTCTAGTCCAGCAGAGTTTGGATAAGATTGGCTCATAGCGCTTTCTGCAGGGCTTGCCTTACCCAGATCCACCGTGGCATGTTGCAGCAGATTTTCCTTGCGGTTTGTGTGTGTGTGTGTGTGTGTGTGTGTGTGTGTGTGTGTGTGTGTGTGTGTGTGTGTGTGTTTAATATCTGCAACTTATTTTAAAAGCACCCAGTTCTTTGGGGACTCTAATAAAGATGACTTGTTCCCTTCAAAAATTGCTAAGGCCCAGTTCAGGAGATTCACATTTGAAAAACCATGTAAATGTTAGCACGGGGCACTTGAGATAATATTAGCTGATGACAATTTATCATTGTCAGGGAGATACAGAGATGTGTATTTTTTAAAAAAATTCATGTAATATGGAAGCAATTATTTTGTCAAGGCTGGAAAAGTTTTGTCAGATAATACAAGAAAATATACAGTGAAACTTTGGAAAGTGATGGGAAAGAGTGAGACAAACCTTGAGGCCAATAACGTCATAGGTTTTGATACCCGAAACCTGTTTCCACAAGGCAGGGGAGTCCCTCTGCCTTTGCCTTCCAGATGTGCCCTGTGGAAACCCTGAGCCAGGCTGATGGTCAGACTTGGACCTTCTACCTGATCCTACTAGTGAGTCACTGATAATTATGCAGAGCAACAACTAAAGAACTAAATCAGAAACCTCCTATTAATTTCACAGTGTGTTTTCTTTAACAGACAAATGTTTTTAAAAGTTGAAAGAAGATATACAGCTTTTCTCTGCAGCACACAGCAAAAATAGGACATTTCCAAAGAGCTGTCTTATGCTGTTGTTCTCTCCCTCCATCCCTCCCTTTCTTTTGCAGTGCTGGTTGCTGGTGTTCAAATCCAGGGCCTCGTTGTGTCCCCAAACCAAACCATTTTATGACAGTTTGTATCTATCACATGCTGAACTTTGTGTTAAACTCTTGGGCTCCTGGGTGAGTAAGTCTCCAGGAGCTGACAGGTTGATGAGATGGGGCTTGGAACCAGCATGTAAGTAATTATAAGTCAATGTTATGAAGCACTGAGATGTTGTGAGTCATGGTACTAACTAGTGGCCTGGAATCCAGCCCTGGAATGAGCCTGTTGAAGAAGGGCTGCTGTGGCTTTTCTGCTTTTGGATGCTCTTGGCTTTCATACTGCTTCAAGCTGGTGCCCATTACCTGGGAATGTGTGTCCTGAGGTGATGGTATAATTTGCTTGAAGGGATGGGAGTGGGTTAGATCAGAAAGGTACCCTAAAAGACCTGCCACCTACACCAAGTTCATTCCTCAGGATCAATCAAAGCTAAGCAAGCTGGAGTCAGAGGACAGGCACTCCAGGTCTGCAGGAAAAGGGAGGCAGAGTGAGTACTGGTTGGGAAGGGTACAGCCATTGAACAGGATGATATAATGAATTTGAGGGACAATTTGGTGATGAGGCCTGTTGGACAGAGGGAGGAATCTCCAATTTCTTCTTCCCAAATGACTCTAGCTTGTGTCAAGTTGACATAAAATTAACCAGCACAGATACACAGAGAATAAAAACCGAGTTCCTCCCTGTTATGTGAAAGTTTTCCTGGGGAGATACAGCACACATGCTCACTCACCCAAGAAATGGAACCCACAATAAATCAAAGTGACAGTTACAGTAATGTCCATCTTGGTGAACCAATGAGTTTTCAGTAGGGTTGCTAACAGGAGTGTGGGTGAGGAGTTACAGGATCAGAGATGACATAAGGACAGCTAAATCACCACAAGGACACATGGTGACTCTCATGTCACCCCTGAGCATCCTGAACAGCCTGCAAACAGCATAAATGGTCTAAGCCTCACTTCTCTGCTCAGCTGGTAAGTTTCCTCTTGCTGCTGTGGCTATTTCCTCCTTTTATAAAGCTGGGGGATAGAATCTTCTAAGTTTATGCATTTTCATGCATGTAACCTTTTGTTTATCCATTTCATGTACCTCTTCCCCCCTCCTGGAGAGAATGTTTCCATTGTGAGGGAACTGCCTCACACACTTCTCTCATCTACCAGCCCTTCCTCCATCCCATTCGTCCTTCAGATCTAGTTGAGGACACTAATGCTCCTCTGGTGCCTTTCTCTCACCACAGGATCTAATGTGCTGAAAATGTCTCCAAGGCCGATAACCAGCATTGCTAGTGTCTGTGTTAGTCAAGTTAAACAGAGCTCCACAGAGTCCTGGTGGTTGTGATTTGGCTTTGGACAAATAACCTTCCATGTCTCCTTTTCTTTAACAAATCTATCCTCATGTCAAAAACAAATGATCCTGCTAGGACACAGCATACTTCAAATGCAGATTGAACATCCAAAGACTAGGATATTTTCTCCTTTACACCAGCAGGACATAGTGAAAGAATCATCTTCCTTGTGTAACTAAGTACAACCCACATTACCATCTCTGGCTCATTCGATTCTAAAGTTCCCTAGCCTCCAAGTGCTGATATTGTAAGGCTCACCACTACGCCTGGCTACTCTACCTTAGCTTTTGATGTCTATTGTCCCCCTTGTTGGAAACTCTGAGTCATTCAGTGGAACGTGTGCTCTTTGCTGGGCATATGGATGATTTTATTTGCCTCAGGTGTGTGTTATCAGATCTTCCTGGATCGCAGGAGTGTGCCTGTGCTAGAAATCTGTTCATCCAGTCCCCTTTCTTCCTTCCATGTCACTTCTCAGTGAGGTCATCTTCAATCACCTTGATACAGTGATAACCCTCTCACATCCCTGTCTGCTTTCCTCCCTGGTAATTATTGTATTTTAATTCACATACTCACTCACTCACTCACTCTCACTTCTTCAAATTTTGACCTCTTATTGTGTCTTTCCTTTGTCTTCACAATGCAAATTTCTTGATGAATTCCTATGTGAGTGGCCATGTTGAAACCTATTTATTGTATATCAATTTCTGGATACATATTGAATTATAAATGAATGAATGTCATGAAGGTGGTAGGACAGTTATTGGTTATGAGCCAGAGATCTGTATTTTAATGTTTACATTTTCCTATAATTTCTCTCTGCCTCTCTATGTCATCAACAAAATGGACAGTAATTCCTGTTCTACTAGTGGGACGCATGCAAAGATTTTCTTTGAGTTTTGGAAACAGGGTCTTTTCTAGGCCAGGTTGTCCTCAAACTCACTATGTAGTTGAGGGTGACCTAGAATTTCCAGTCCCCTTCTTCCACCTCCTGGGTGCTGTGACTGGGAGCTTGTATCTCTGCCTTTGGGTTCTATAGTACTGAAGATCAAACCCAGGGCACCATGCATGTTATGTAAGCACTCCATAGACTGAGATGCACTGCCAACTCCCTATGCAAAACAAAGCTATCTTTGACACTCTACCCTGTGCACATGAGAAAATTATTTATTGTCTTGCTTACATCCAGTGCAATGAGCATGGGACTTGTTCTCCGTTTGCTATAAGCCAATTCCAAGAAAAGGCTTGAATATAGTGTAGGGGTAACAGGCTCATTTCTGTGTTTCTTTGGGAAAATTTTAGTGGATTCTTTGTGTATTGCTTAGATCATGCATTTGAACTTGTGACAAGCCACTGAAAACTTGGAGAGTAGAATAGTAACTACTACATGATGGAAGATGCCATTATGTATATATGCTTCTCATACTGGTTAATGAATAAAGCACTGTTGGCCAATAGGAAAGCAAGATAGGAGGGACTAGGAGACAAGGAGGAAAAAGGAAGTAGTAAGGAGGAGCCAAGATGGAGAGTCGGGAGAAAGCAGTATGCCGGCTGGCTCCCCGGTAAGAGAAATACATAGATCAGCAAAAATGGGTTAAAAATTAAAGCAGAGCTAGCCGATAAGAAACAAGTAACTGGGCCAACAGAATTATATCTAATACAGAGTCTCAGTGTGTTATTTGGGGCTGGTGTGGCGGCAGGACAAGAGCGGGCGGCGGGTGGAAAAACTGTACTCCTTACAACTACAAGGGTCTGGTGTCTCACATATGTCTGGTGTTGTGTGTTGCTTTGGTGTGCTGCACACTTAGTTCATCTCACCTCCACTGATCTCATCTCACCTATCCATCTCACCTTCAGGGATGACATAGAGTTGAGCATGGTGATGCAAGCCTATAGTTCCAGCACATGGAGTCAGAAGCAGGAAGATAGCTTCAAGTTTGAGGCCAGCCTGGGCTACCTAGTGACTAAGGCCCCTCCTTAAAAACAATGAAAAACAAATCAAGCAAAAACCAAAGACCTAGAGAAGCCAACACCCCAAAAATCCAGCAACCCCCAAAAGAGGCAGAACAGGGAGAGATCTCATGTCTTTGCCCCCGACTCTGAGTTACTGACAATGACTGTTTTCACTCTGTGGATGGTTTTCTCATGGATATGTTCCTTTTTTTCAGACTGTTTATGACCAGTGGTTCATCACCCTTTTTAACATTGTTTACACATCACTACCTGTTTTAGCCATGGGGATTTTTGACCAGGTATGTGTTTTTTTTTTTTTTCTTTATTTGTTGCTTACGTTCTCTATTGAGTCTTCTGGCTATTACTAGCTAGCTTTTGAGTAGAAGGCCGATTTACGAAAAAATCTCTAGAAGTGTAGTTTTCATAACAAGCATCCCACGGGTCACAAGTCCTTCCGGGTCTCCTCTCCTGCTTGCTGCTTCTCCAAAAAGGTTTCCATCCAAGTTTGCCTTGTTTGTTCTTAGGTATTTACATATAACAGTATTGTCGGAAGGTTCTGAGAAGTCATGCATGAAGTCTTTTCTTTCATTTAAATCCAGCATGTCTCAAATTTCTGTGATTGTATTTTTTAAAAAAAATATATATATATATAATATTTTGGGACTAGAGAGATGGATCAGCTGCTAAAGGTTGGGCTCACAACCAAAAATATAAAAATATAATATTTTAATTAAATTTTTGAGACTTTCATAAACATATACAATGTATTATGATCACACTCACTGTGAGCATGGTTGACGTACCAAAGGCCATATTCTTAAAAAAATTACTCTCCCTCCCCTAGTAACTATTAATTACCATCATGAGCCCCTCTCTTATCCAGGCTAGAAGAGTGATTGGATTGATGTTGTACAGGTCTTGAACAGAAAACCACAGCCACTGTGAGCTATGTCATGTCCAGAAGCTGTTTGTCCCACCCTACACCCAGCCCTGGCCTCTGGCTCTTAATATATTTCTACCGCCTCTTTTGAGATGTTCCCTGGATATTATTTCTACCCCCTCTTTTGAAACGTTCCCTGAACTTTAGAGTGAGGACATGTGATACAGATATTCCATTTATGGTTGAGCACATTATAGATATTATTCTTTGGGCTTTGAGCAGTTGTGAGTTTCTGTAGTAAACATCATCTACTTCACAAAGAAGCCTCTTATGAGGACTGGGAGTGGCATTAATCCATGGGTGTAGAAAGACATATTTAGAGATCAATTTGATACTGTGTTCATTTATAAAAATAAAAGTAGTAGGCTTACCTGCCACTGGTGAGCATGCCTGCCACTGGTTATTGGGCAGATTGACTGTATCAAACATGAGTTGCTTCCTGAGGCACAGGTCTTATCCAATCAGGAAGCGTTTGGTTATTTTTATAACGAATGTGCCCCTCTTATACACATGGATGTATTGTGACATGTTGTTGGTTATTGTAGTTTGAAAGTTTCACAGCTGGGTAAAATTGTTGATGACTTTTCTCCTTCAATGCCCTGCAAGCACCTTCTGGAAATGTGAAAGCTAGCCTGCAGTGATGTCCATAGATAGGCATGTGTCTCTGTGGAAGGATATAGGATCCTTTGGATATCTGCCCAAGATCACATGGTAGATCTATTTATAGGTTTTTGAGGTACATCTCCACTGATTTCCATGGTGGTTGCACAAGTTTGTACTCCCACCAACAGTGAATGAGGGTTTCTATTCCCCACATCCTCACCAGCATTTGTTAGAGTAGTTTTAATTTGCATTTTCCCGATAGCTAAGGATGTTGAAAACTTTAACTATGTTTATTGTCTGTTTACATTTTTCTATTAAGATTTCTCCTCTCAGATCCATAGCCCATTTTAAAAATTGTACTATTTCTTTTCTTGAAATGTGGGTATATTCTAGACCAGCAGGCCTCAACCTGTGGGTCATGATCTCTTTGAGGTTGGCCAAACACCTCTTCCACAGGGGTCACCCAAGACCATTGAAAAGCACAGATATTTACATTACAATTCATAACAATAGCAAAAATTACAGTTATGCAGTAACAACAAAAATAATTTTATGGTTGGGGGTCAGTACAACATACTGTATTAAAGAGTCACAGCATTAAAGGTCAAGAACCCCCGTTGTAGACACAAACCCTCTGTCCTATGTGTAGCTGGTGAATTTTCTCCCATTCTTTATGTTCCCTTTTTACTTGATTAACAGTGTTCTCTGGTGAACAAAAGCATTTTAATTTAATAAGATCCTACTCACTGATTGTTTATCCTATTTCCCAAGTGACTAGAGATGAATTCAAAAGATCCTTAATTGAGCCTGTATCCTGACATGTACCCCCTACTCTTTCCTGTAGGTGTTTTTGAGTCCTTGATCTAGTTGGAGTTGATTGTTTTGCATAGTGAGATATATGTTCATTCTTCTCCATTTAGCTATCAAATTTCCCAAGTACTATTTGTTAAAGGTGCTATGTTTTTTTCTTGTGTGTACTTTTTGTCATCTTTATAAAAGAAAGCAGGTGGATTTAGGTATGTGAACTTACACCTTGGGTTTCCATTTTATTTCACTTATTAATGTGCTTGGTTTTTGTGCAACACCATGCTATTTTAACATCTTGGCTCTGTAGTTTAAGTTAAAATAAGGACTGGTGATGTTTCTAGCAGTGTCTTTATTGTTCCAGATGTTCCTAGATATCTTGAGTCTTTAGTGCTTCTATGCTAGTTCTAATGTTTTTCAGGAAGAATTGCATTAGAACTTTGATGGGGCTGCTTTGAATCTTTAGTTTGATTTGATAGGATGGCCATTTTCACAATGTTAAGTCTACTGGTTCACAAGTATGGGAGGTCTGTCTTCTGTATCTTCTTCAGTTTCTTTCTTTGGTGTTTTAAAGGTTTTCATTGTACAGGTCTTTCACTTTTTTATGTTACTATATTTGTATTTTTTTTCTTTCTTTCTTTTTCTTTTTCTTTTTCTTTTTTTTTTTTTTTTTTTTTTTTTTGTTTTTTGTTAAATGTTAGAGCACAGATTCTTCACCCCAATCAGGTCATGATGACCCTACAGTCTGTCAGAGTTGACAAGACACTTCTGTGACTCTTAGAGCACGCGCACACACACACACACACACACACACACACACACACACACACACACACACACACCACACATGTGCCAGGGGGTGGGGCCCAGCTTTCCTCCCCTGCTACCTAGGACAAAGGAAACTTTAAACCACAATGTCTGCCATTCAAATAATGTGGTATGGAAATTCCTGCCATTCCTTGAGAGTCTATAGTAGTTTTTTTAAAAAAGCCTCCTTTGTTCAGAAGACTTAATGGCTTCTCTTTTAGCTTCCCATCATGCTAGACATGGTGGCTGAATGAAAATGAGGACATGACCACTCCAAGGTATGGTTGAGAGGAAGGAGTTTATTGTTGATATGAGTGAGAGAACAGCCAAAGGCTTATGAAAGGGTCCAGACTGAACCAGGCTATGATAAGGGGGGCGAGGGGAGTGAGAGAGGAAGAGAAAAGGAGAGAGGGCAAGTGGACCAAGAGAGTGCATGGCCGAATACAGGTTTGTATAGGAATGAGGACCTGTGGGAGGGAAGCAAAGCCTCTGGGCTGGAGAATTTTAAGATCGAGAGCAAGGTGAGAAACTCTGGGAAGAGCCACAGGTACTGAGTAAGCCTTGTCCCGGGTTTCTCTGGGACCTGACAGTGGCTGTATCTCCTAATGCTCTCACTCTTCAAGCCCTGTCCTTTTCCTTTCCCTGCATAGTTAACAAGGTTCTCTCTTCTAACAACCTTATTACGGACGGTTCTTCCCCTCGGGCCCGTTTAGGAGAGGTGCGCACACACAACCCCTCAGTTGTGGAGAGAAAAGAACACAGATTTTTATTTAGTGTTTATGTGTGTGAGACAGGAGAAGGGGGAGAAATCAATGATAAGCATTATAAGATTGGTGCTTCATGGTCTGCAACTTACTTCCTGGCAAGAAAGGAAGTCTGGCTGCCTGTGGGGAGGCAGAATCTCTAGCCAGTAGAGTTTCCATGGCACAATTAAAGTGTATTACTTAAAAAAAAATTTTTTAAGTATTTTTGAGACCAGATTTTCTCCAGTCTGTTATTAGACCTGTTTACTAGACTTCGTTTTCTGGCCCAGAGCTATCTATTGCACAACACACTTCTTCACACTGTGAGGTCACCCTTTCTCCCATTCTGTCTACTTTGTAACTGGTTCTGAGTCTCCTGTCCATATGTACAAAGGGCATCTGCACAAAGTACCAAACTTCAAAAGGCCTTAGATGTAAAGGATGAAGCACAGGCTCTTCCAAGTGCTGGTGTTTACAAGTATTTCTTTTCTTGGTGCTTTGTAGCTGCCCACAGTGTGGAATCAAATAGTAAAAATAAAGCAGTTCTGGGAAAAAAACAACAAAAACCCAAAAACAGTTATTGTGCAATTTGAAAAAAGCAAAGCAAAACAGAACGAAACACAATAAGCCTCCTTATTGCTGTCTGTTCCTCTCCTTTCTTGGTTTGTCGGTATTGGCCCTTAAACTGATGGCAGAGTCATGCATGCTGGCTGCAGAAGGCCACAGGGATCATGTCTGGTGTCACTCATTTCGTGAAAGGAAGCAAGCTCTGGGGGTTCTGGTCACTGACTGAGCAGCTGATAAGTGGTGGAATTAAGCTCACCACAAGCTTACTGGAGCTTGGGCTGCTGCATTCTACTATCATTGTTATTTATTATCACCATTGTTGTATCAATGTTTTGTGTTAGCACAGGTTATTAACTACTTAATTCTTGGCAAGGACTCTGCAGAAACATCTCTTAGTCATGCCAGTGGTTTTCTGTGTGGGAGGTATTACCGTTTGCATTTCTGCCGATGAAGAAACCAAGACTTGGGTTAAGTAACAAGACTATACACTGCCAAAACCTATTACCAGTCCGTCAGCTGTTCCCTGTGTGGTTTCAAAACCTGTGACTATAACTATACCAGTCACCACACTCATATCCAACAGCTCCTCCAGGGAGGACTTCTTAAAGAGAATATGTCAGGATTCATGGAGCAGTGTGGGCCATTCTACAAAGGTGAAGGGGAATTAGACTTCCCCTAGAATTTACCATACATGGCTGGTCCTTCTCCACCTATGCTCTTTAGTTTTTTGTTTGTTTTTTCTTTTGTTTTTCAAGAGAGAGTTTCTTTGTGTAGCCGTGGCTGTCCTGGAACTAGCTCTATGCACCAAGATGGTCTCTAGTTTATAGAGATCTACCTACCTCTGCCTCCTGAGTTCTGGGATTAAGGGAATGCAACCTCATCACCTGGCTGGGCTTCTGGTTTTGTTCAGTCTTCTGTGACGACCATCCTTTGGTCTAGGGCCTTGGTTTTGATTCTCACAGTATGGTTGTTGGCATCACTTTTCAGCTAGCCAGAAATGCAGAATCTGTTTCATAGATTCCTGTGTCCATTAAGTTTTAGAGATACCAGTTATGTTTTTTCTAGACCTTGGTGGATGATAAATATGGAGCTTCCTATCCTGTCTGGTTCTGTTGTCCTGAGCCCTTGGCATTTTCTACTGAATTCTCACCAGGTAAAGCACATAGATCCTAAATGTTTAGTCTCAGCCCCTTCCTGCTTTAAATAGCACATAGGATTCCCCATTTTCTCATTGTTCCTGCTCACTTCATCCACAAATTGCCAATTCTGACTCGGCAGCTTCATGCAAATTATGTTAGCAAGTTCCTTCTGATCCATGACTATGCTGGAATTCTGGAGCTTGAATCCTTCCAAGATGGCAGCAGCCACAGCAGTCTGTGGAGGATATAGCAAACAAGTGTGTACTTGAGTTCAAGTATCTGCATTCAAGCTCAGTCAAGTCCTGACTCTGCTAGTTAAGATCAATGTGGCCTCTCCTTTGTTTCTCCTATGGATGGAAACTTCTTCATAGCAAAATAGGGGTCATTTGTAATCTGGTTGTTAGGTTCTTCGGGGAATAAAAACAAGATAGTGTCTTGTTCTAGCCCAGTGAATAGTAGGTAACAGGGCATACTTACAATGACCTTGTCTATTTCTGGGGATAGGGCATCATGGACTTCTTGCCTCTTCTCTGAAATTATACTCTGTTTACAGGATGTGAGTGACCAGAACAGTATGGACTGTCCTCAGCTCTATGAACCTGGACAACTGAATCTACTTTTTAACAAGCGTAGATTTTTCATCTGTGTGGCACATGGAATCTACACTTCATTAGCCCTTTTCTTCATTCCCTATGGGTCCTTTTACAACGTGGCCGGAGAAGATGGGCAACAAATTGCTGACTATCAGTCCTTTGCGGTTACCATGGCCACATCTTTGGTCATTGTGGTCAGTGTACAGGTAATCCTTTTCCTTAAAGTGCCTCTGCCTTGGTGTGATCAGTTTACTTGTGTGTAGGCATATGCATTTGTGTGCAGTTGCCATCGCCTTTGTCCATGCACAAGCAGGCCAGAGCCTGATATCAGATGTTGTCCCCAGTAATTTCTCTACCTTATTTCTGGGGACAGGGCATCTCACCAAACCTGGAGCTCATCATTTCAGCTAGAGTGGCTATCGGCTGAGCCCCTGTGACCTGCTATCTCTGCCCACACAGCACTGGGGATGCAGGCATGTGTTGCCATGTCTGGGATTTCACATAAGTGTTAGGGATAAACTCAGATCCTCTTGAATACACAAAAAGTGCTTCATACACTGGGCCAGTGCCCCAGCCCCAGGATTTTCTTTTTAATTGCACATTTTGAAATGAAATGAATAACCTTTAATAAATAATATGATGTGGTAAATTTTGCATTAGGAGTTTATAACCTTTGTGTTTGTAGAAAGATAGCAATCACTTACTTAGGTTGGATATTGTGTATAAAGATAAATGATTAAGGGTTTGGAGGTGTAGCTCAGCGGTAAAGTGATTGTCTAGTGAGTTCAAGGCTATGGCTTCAAGGCCCAGACAGAAAAACTAGCATAATGGAGTGACACATAGCTATTTTCTCAGGACTAAGAGGCTGTAGCGGGAAGATTGCTCAAGGCCAGACTACAGTGTGAGTCCCTGTCTCAAAGTAAAAAGTTATACCACTATTCCCTGCTTGTGTTTGGAGAAGAAGCATTTCCAAGGATAACAAAAGTCTCCTATAACTTCAGATTTAATAAGCCCTAGGTTCTAAAGTGAGAACTAGAACTTATTTGGTAAGAAGCTCAGTGCTCTATTCAAATGTCATATTAAGGAGACACACTGACAGGGAGTTCTTGGTGTTCTGAGTTGTGATCCAGTTTGTTTTCTGGTGCAGTTGAAGTAGATTTCACACAAAATTCTGGTCCATTAATACCTGCAGCACAAGACTGATGTGATGAGTAATACAATCTCTGTGTTATTTTGTTTTGTTTTGTTTGTTATTGATTGAACTGTTAAGAATCAGATGATCTCTTTGTCACAAGTTACAGTCATATGTGACCATTTCTTGAGTATTGAGTAAATGAGGGAGATGATAAAAGGGAATTTCCTCTCTACCGATCCTATCATAAAAAGAGTTTGTCATTAGAATAGAATAATTAAAACTAACTTGATTTTCCAGATTATATCTACAGTCTTCAGACACATTTATGGCCAGTTTTCAAAAGGCCTGAGACACATTCCCCATGCTGAGCCTAGGACAACAACAGATTCAGCCATGGTCTGTGGTCTCTCATGGCATTCATAAGTCTTCAAAAGCAAGGCGCTGCAGGGGAGTCACACACAGAACTATGGCCATAAGTGCACGTAGAGTAGTCTTGGATAGAACATAAAAGTACAGAGAACAATTAAAATTGACCCACAATTGCACACCGGCGTGAACATGGCAAAAATATTAGAAATCAATTTTGTGTGATTTTTATAATTTTGCCTCATGGGTATGAATCTTGATTCAGGATTATTCTCTGAAATATCTTTTACATGGCTATAATGCTTGAGCATATGAACATATCAACCAGGACACCATTAGATTGCTGCTACTATTTCCACTCTGAAAAACAGTAGCACAGTGGCAAACTTTCACATGCTAAATTCTCAATACTTCTTGATTGCCTTAAAGTATACTCTTTATTGGCATTTCATTTGTTTTTGTTTGTTTGTTTGGTTGGTTTTTGTTTGTTTGTTTGAGACAGGGTCTCACTGTCTGGCCTGCAACTCACAATATAGACCAGTCAGTTGATAAACAGCTAGGTTGATTCCATTTCCAGCCTGACTTGTTATATTGCAGCATGCAGGATCCAAACATTGTGTAAGGCCATTTTCTCACCTAGCAATCAACAATAGTACTTTCTGACACTATGTAACCTGGCCAGCAGGGAGGAAGTTTTTCAGTCAGTAAGAAATTGATTTCTGTATGTCCCACAACCAAAGCATTTGGTGTTTTCAGCAATGGGGTCTTACTTTCTGGTAATAGTGGGCAAATAAGAGCAATGATGATAGCATGTGTTGTTTGGTGGGGGGGAATGGGCTCAAAACAACAATAGGGAATATTCCATGCATTGAATTGAGATTTTTGTTGATAATTCAGGTATTTTTGGAATACTGTACCTCCATTCAAATTCCTTTTTATTTTATTTTAAGTTTTTACCCCCTCCTCCTTTATACTATCTGTGTTCCCATCTCCCTTTAATCTCTATTAACACCCTAAGTAAAACATACAAATCTAAAAATGGAAAGCTAGGGTTCACATATGAAAAAGATCAATGTTTGTCTTTCTGGATCTAGATTCTCACAAAGTATATTTCCCAGTTATGTCTATTTTCCTACAAACTTTATAATTTCATTTTTCTTTACAATGTATTAAATTCTGTCTTGTATATGTACCACATTTTCATTATCCATTAGTCAGTTGATTGGCATCTAGGCTATTTCCATGTCCTGGCTATTGTGAATACAGTAGCAATGATCATAGGTGTACAGGCATTCCTGTGGTAGGCTATAGAGTCCTTTGGATGTCTGCCCAGGAGGAGTACAGCTGGATCAAATAGCTTGATTTAAGTTTTCCTTGATTTCCTACTAACACTAAACGAGGGTTCCCCTCTTTACAAAACCTCACAAACATTTGTTGAGACCTGCTTTCTTGACCTTAGCCATTTAAAATGGGGTGAGGTGGAACCTCTAAGTAGTTTTAATTATCATCAAACATTTCACACTCATGTTTAGATGTTTCTTCATCCACCGCTAATGAAACAAATTTGGGACTATTTGTTTTCTGCTTTTTAAACTTTTTTCTTATTGAAATAGATTTTTTTTCTCATATAATATATCCTGATTATGGTTTCCCTTCCTTCTTCTCCTCCCAGTTTCTCTCCACCATCTGGGATCCCAACCCTCTGGCTCCACCCCTTTTCTGTTTCTCCTTAGAATACAAACAGGCTTCTAAGAGATGATAGAAATATTTTGACAGTAATTTAGAAGATCATTCTATTGTCTCATTTCTCATAAAAAATAAAACCCTTCACATTCCACTTCCTGAGGCTGTTTTGACCTTGGCAGGTACAGTTGCCCATGTAGCTAAGTTCTAGCCACTGACCTAACACACCAGTCTCCTGTGTGTGCAGAAGTGGCTCAGAGTATTTCTGGGGGCAGGCTTCTGTTTACAGTGACTCCTCTTTCACATTTGACTATATTTGCAGATAGCCTTGGATACCAGTTACTGGACTGTAGTTAATCATGTCTTTATCTGGGGCAGTGTTGCTACCTATTTCTCCATTTTGCTGACCATGCACAGTAAAGGCATCTTTGGAATCTTCCCACACCAGTTTCCCTTTGTTGGTAAGTTGCCCTACCTTTCGTGAGGTCCTTTGTGATACTGAAAGTTCTTTGTCTTATTTATTTATTTGTTTATTTATTTCCGAATGTGTTCTGTAGCCAACAATATTTTTTTCCATATTTGAAAGGGGTTCTAAGAGACTACAAAAATACAACTTAAACTTTCTAATAGCCCAGATGCAATTGACTGTGCCTTAGGAAAAAAGGGCATACCATGTACATTGGGACAACTGTACAGCCTGTGAGAAGTTTGTTTGTTATGTAGAGAAATGAGGAAGAAATACTCATTCTTCTGCTTATACCAGGTTACCACCAGCATGTCTATCAGAGTTCCCCTGTAGACATTATCTGCATTTAGATAAAAGGGAAATGTTGCACACATTACAGCCCTCTGTAGATTTCCGACCATCCTTCCTGAAGTGGCCAGAAGAGATGACTGGATAGTCAAGCTTCAAACACTGGCTTCATCACTTAAAGAATTGTGTGATGGGGCTGGAGAGATGGCTCAGCTGTTAAAGGCCAGGCTTACAACCAAAAATATAAGAATTGTGTGATGTTGAACACATTTTTCTTTCCTTTCCATGATTAAAGATTTATTTATGAACTGGGTTATTGATTGTTCCCATTTCCAAAACAAAAAATTGAAGATCAAATGAGTTATTACATATAAAGTATGAGGATGTATTCTGGGTAAACAAATAAACTCTGATAATAGTGTTTGTCTTAGTTAGGGTTTCTATTGCTGTGATAAAACACCATGACCAAAAACAACTGTGGAGGGGGTAGTAAAGAGTTTTTCATCTTACATGTTCTGTTCACAGTCCATCATGAAGAGAGGTCAGGGAAGGAGCTCAACACAGGAGCCTGGACACAGGAGGATCTGATGCAGGGGTCATGGAGGGACACATTTTATTGACTTGCCTTCCATGGCTTGCTCAATCTGATTTCTCTCTCTCTCCTTCCTTCCTTTCTTCCTTCTTCCTTTATTTCTCTCCCTCTCTCCCTCCCTCCCCCCTCCCTCACTCCTTACCTCCCTCCCTCCTGGAACTCTCTTTGTAGACCAAGATGGCCTCAAATTCACAGAGATCCACCTGCCTCTGTCTCTCAAGTACTGGGATTAAAGATGTGCGCAACAATGTCTGGCTCAATCCGATTTTTATGGCACCCAGGATAGCTAGCTCAGGGGTGGTACCAGTCACAATGGACTGGGCTCTCCCACATCAACCATTAATTAAGAACATGTCCAGACTTGCTTACAGGCCAATCTTTTGAAGGCAGTTTGTCAACTTGGAGTCCCTCTTTCCAAATGACTCCAGTTGGTGCCAAGTTGACATAACACCAGCCAGAACAATTTTATTATTCAAGAAATTGTGACTTAATGATTATGTTTGGAGGCATTGTGAAAGAATTTGAGTGTCTGGTGAGGTATCAAGGAACCTCTAAAATCCCTTAAAGTCTTAAGGTTGCATTATCCAATAAAGAGGACACATCCAGTGTTCCTGTGTTAAGGGTCACACTTGAGTACAACTCTGGAGAGATCACTTCCTCTTACATAAGAACTACTAATACACTTTCCAAGAAGTTTGGGATTCTCTAATGCAGTCGAGTAAGCAAGGAACAGAGAGTTTTGGAGTTTACCTCAGTAAACTAGAAAGGAATCATGCACAGAGACAAATCTTGTGAGCTCAAGAAGGCAGTACAATGTTTGGAATCCATTCTCTGATTATCCCAGCCTAGAAAATAGTTCTCACCAGACTGATCTTGTGAGATTAAGTGTCATAGGATCAGTTCTGAAGTGGGTGGGCCTCCTCACTGATTCTGGGGTTCCCTTTCCATTCAGTTGTGTGTGGACACTGTTCTTCAATTTGGTCCCTTCTTACATGTACAGTAACCTCTTCAGATCCTAACAGTCTTGCTCAATATATCACGCTCAGTCTTTGTTTACTAAAAGATTCCAGTCATGTTGGTTAGCCATGAAAACAAGCCAGTTAGGAAAGGAAGACTCCAGAACTGTTCTTAAGTTTCACTTTATTTACTTTTGTGTTACCAGATCAGAACGTGTACTGCATCCTAAAGACCACTCTAACATGCAAAATGGGACTGCTTCCCTTGGAGAATGTAGTTTGTGTATGACTAATCCCTTTTAGTTAAGCACTTGCCATTCCATGAATTAATTACTGAGATCCAATGAAAGTTTACAAAAGTTAGATCAACATTGGGGTTTTCTAAAAAAAAAAAAAAAAAGAAAGATTTTCTTTAGTAACTAGCAGCAAAGGGGCAAGGGGGTGTGGCTTTAAAGGGGAGCTTGCTTTTTACAGCATTGCCTGTGGGTAATGAGCATCAAGAAGCTCCAAAGGACATATATTGATTAGATTAAGTTTGTTTTTGCTCTTGGCTGACAACAATTGTAGTTAGCTGCTCTCTGGTAGACAGATTTACTCTCCGAAGCCAGAAAAAGCAGACATACCAATCAGTAGCCAAGCTCTCATACCCAAAGCCCATTTGAATGGTGGTCACATGGGCACACTGGGGTGAAGACCCAGCTGATTGACAGTATCATGGTAAATCCTTGGGAAATGAGCTGGGACAGGGATGGTATCTTCCCATGGAGTTGGCCTGCCTACCCTTTGCTGCTTAGATTAGACAAACAATAAATATATGAAGAATGAGTATAAAGTCTGGAAGTTGGCTTCAGGGTTGGCAATGAATTTCTCTGGCCTGCCATCTCTCATGTTGGGTAGCTGCATCAGTGGTCATGGGGAACTCTTTTCATCAATTCCAGGAGCCTGCAGGATCTCCTTAGATCTTTAGCTCATAGCCAAGAGAGAGTCAAAGAAATAGCAAGTTCCTTTTGAGGCAGTTTTTCTGGGCAGTTGCCTAGAATTTCAAAGGTTAGCCTTGTACTTCATACAGTATATCCCTATGACATAGACAGTCAGTGAGGCTATTGCTTGGGAACGGGACTGAATTCAAATAATTAATCAGAAGTTCTACTTGATCATGGATTATGAGGTTGAGGGAAGGAATTGAGCCAAGCTGGATGGAGCCTGGGAGACAGGATGCATGATCAGGATAGCAGTTCCCTAGGGTTTTATAATAGCATTCAAGATTTTTCTTTAAATTTATATTATCATCCATTTAATTCCTAACCATTACCTATAATTTTAAATTAGTTTATGCAATTATAAAGATTTTATAACAATTCAGTGTTTTGTATGTTTGTTTTTTTGATGGTAGGAAATGCATGGCACTCTCTGAGCCAGAAGTTCGTCTGGCTTGTTGTTCTCTTGATAGCAGTGGCTTCAGTCATGCCGGTGGTGGCATTCAGATTTCTGAAGATGTATTTATACCCAAGCCTAAGTGATCAGGTATGTTGCTGTACTGTGAGTACTTGACAGCTGGTTGGTGGCTCTCATGAATGGTGTCCTTCTCTGTTTGAGCAGATGCACAGGGAATGACCCACGAAGTCCCTATAGGTCCACACAATAGATGGTACTCTTAACTCCACACACTAGAGTACTAGTCCTGAATGCCAGCAAGGAGAAGTGTATTAGGCTAAATGTGGGTATAGGGTGATGAGTTATAAGTATCTTTACCCATGACTCTGGAAAAAGAAGTTCACTGGGATAATTTTAGAGTCAAGCTACAGGGAAAGCTTAGGGTACCATACAGGGAATCTGAATGAGTCACGTTGAGGGGTCTTGTAGTTTGGGTGGAAATAGAATATTGGATTTGGAAATAAGTGAGAGATGTTATCTGTTGAGCAGATTTTTAAAAGGAACAGCAGGGTGATGAGTGGACTGGGAATACAAAGCTGCGAGAAGAACAAAAAGAATGTGCTATAGAAAGTAGCCTGAACCAGGGATTAGAATAGATCTCAGTGGCTCATGGGTAAAAGAGCACAAATAAAGCAATGCTGGGTTAGGATGTGACTCAGGAAAGAGATAAGGGAAGAAGGGGGAGACATGTTGGTATCATCCCACGAGGAAAGATAACATGTCTCTGGAGGGAGTGGGGCCAGATCAGTGATGCCGAGGGCTCCAAGGTGGCCTTTTCTTACTATAATGTCCCTTAAATTCTGGGGGCAAAGTATGAAATGATTGACAGTCTTTTGTGTCTGTCCTTTTATGTTGGTTCTGAACTGAATCCAACCCAGAAAATGATGGGCAGCCTAAGATGCTCATTTTTCTTGTGGTAAAGATGGTTTGCTTACTGTCTCTTTAGATAGACCTGAAAGTTAAAATCGAATACTCGTGCAAAAACCTCTGGTCATTTTCTCTACTCACCTATACAGGGAGAGGGAAGAAAAGTTGGAAACCCACCCATATGATGTTTTGTTCTTAATTTTTTTTGGAAACTTCATATGAGCACTGCATCTAGATCATTCTTCCCCTCCCCTCCTCCAATTCCTTCTGTGCTCCTCCCTCCAGAATTTATAATTTCTTCTTCTGTTTTTGTGCTGAGTTTGTTTGCTGTTGCCTGTCCATACATGTGTAGATACTGTGCATACATGTCTAGGGATGACCACTTGAGACTGGACAATCCATACTGGAGCTTGTCCCTGGAGAAAAACGAATTCTTACTTTCCCAGTAGCCACTGACCATCTGTAGCTTTTCATCTGGGATATGACTGTGAAATTTGCAGATAAGTGTAGTTCTTGTCCTTCATCAAAGTAGCTTATCTGCAGCAGGTGGAGACTACTGCAAAGAGCCACACTTGTCAAACTGCAGAGACTAAGTTTCTATGGGGCGCCCAGCTCCAAATGAAACAACATCTGCAACACAGCTCCACACCTAAGGCTCAGGAAACATTGCCAAAATAGGACAGAATGAGCCAGAGGTGAAGACGGAGTTTCTTTCCAGCCAAGTCCTGCAGCCATTTAGCCCCAAATAAACACAGAGACTTGTAATAATTATAAACTGTTCGGCTAATGGCTTGGACTTCTTATTGGCTATCTCTCTCTTAGTTATTAACCCATTTCTATTAAACTATGTATTACCATGAGGCTGTGGCTTACCAATAATGCTCTAGCATATTATTCCTTCGGTGGCTACGTGGTGTCTCTCTGGTGTCTCTCTTTGTGTTCTTCTTCCCATCTTCTTAGTCTGGGAGCTCCACCTATACTTCCTGCCTGGCCACTGAACGATTAGCATTTATTCACCAACCAATAAGAGAAACATATATTCACAGCATACAGAAGCAAACACCTACCGGAAATTCACCATAAGGCCAACAGAATGGAGACAGTAATGAAATTCATTGGAATATTTCTTGTTTATATGAGAATTTCTTGATAGGAATAAAGAAACTGATTAGTGCCTAGTGTGAACTTTGGAGTGGAGAATATTGAATTTTATACTTGAAGTTTCCTTTTGCAGAGAAGGTAAATGGTTTCTTGTAGCAGATACTCAGCTAAGTTTACTCAGTGGCTGGATTTTGGAGTCTAATATTTGGGTTCATTATCTCACTGTGGTTCTCCTACCCCCACCAGGTCCGCCGGTGGCAGAAGGCTCAGAGAAAGGAAAGGCCCATACGAAGCCGAAGGCCTCAGACCCGCAGGTCAAGCTCCAGAAGATCCGGGTACGCATTTGCTCATCAAGAGGGCTACGGAGAGCTCATCACATCTGGAAAAAATATGCGAGCTAAAAGTCCAGCCCCAACATCAGGGCTGGAAAAGATGCTTTATAATAACACGAGCTGGATTGAAAATTTATGTAAGAAAACCACAGATGTGGTGAGCAGCTTTAGTCATGATAAGACAGTGAAACTGTGAGTCAAGATAGACTTGAACCACAAGGCTTTCTTTTCCCCTCATCTGGGGATGAGCTTCAGCTGCTCAGGGGCCAAGAGCAGGGCAGATTGCCTTGCTTAACTTAAATATGTGGCCTCCAGCTGCCAATGTCTGTTACATACTGGTATGTTCTGCAGGAAACTGGGCCAGATGAGCATTATCCAGTTTGTGATTCTGTGGACCAAGTCCTTCCTCATGGGACAAGCACAGATTTTTATTAGCTTAAACACCAGTTGATCTGAACTTTGAATCTTATTTATGGAAAAATGCTTGTAATTAGCATCTACACTGGATGGATCCTGGGTATGTCAAGACATACCCTTGGTGTGTCTGAACCAGAAAACATGTATCTACAGATACACCATGTATGTGAAGAGCTAGATGCCTTTCCCAAATGCAATTGCAGAATTTAAAGTATGCAGTATGATGCTCTCAGCTTGAGAGTCAGTCTCTCCCTAGTTGTGACCTCTACTTGCCAGTCCATCCCAGACAACAACTGTGACATGCCTGAAGAATACAGAAAAAAAAAATCCTGTGGGATCCCCTGTTCTACAAACCAGTCCAGGGACAAAAGAGATGTAATATCTTTGCAGAGGAGCTGCTAATGTGATCATGTTTATTTAGAAAGTGTTCAGTCTATTCTATATGCTGGCAAGCACCAGAGTAGCTCTGCAGGAAGTCTCCTAATGTTTCAGTGACTTGTGTGACAGCATCAGTAGCAATCTGCTGCACATTACACAGACCGTGGACAGAACCATCCAGAGTGGTGGGGCACCACACTTTTTGTGTGTGATACTGTTCCAAACAGTCCAGCGACGACAAAGGCTGCTGGCAGACCCCATTTTAAAAATGTAAGAATTGAAAGGAAGTGAGTTCATAGGCAATCCCTACTGTTACTGTTTACTCAGGTTTAGGTCATAGAGACTCAATTCCTTTTAGTGCTCAACTGTTGTGTTTATGACACAAACATCTAATGAAGCTGATTTTTAAAATAGACATTACAGCCCAATTTGGGGATCGCTGGGTGAACCACAATTTTATTTTCTTTAAAAGGCTTTATGTTCACACTGCTGCTCTAGCACCTCTTACCTCTGTGATGGGCAGGTGATGTGGCCCTCCTGAGACTCAGTGTCCTCCTCTACAAGATGAGGATGCACTACCTACCTCATGTGGCAGTTGGCCATCAAGCACAAGTTCTCAAACCATCAGAAACACAATTCTCACATGAATGTACAGAGTTGGCTTCAGCTAGCTCATCATCAAAACAGCAGAGCAAAAGGAAGAGACTGCAGGACCTGGGCTGTCAGTCATGAGTGGGATGACCTCAAGGGAATGAGGTTGCTAAGTATGATGGGAAGCAAGTAAAACTATAGCCCGGCAAGTAGATTTTTCTGCAGGGAAGTAAAATAAAGCATCAGGTCTTACCAGTTTTCCAAAGTCAGCCTTTGGTTTTCTAGGTTCCTTCCCTCTGGTCCCTACTTAATTGCCCACCAAACAAAACTGCTTTCTACAAAGAGCTTGCTAATACTTATGTGGCCTTGATAGATGATGGGCTAGGATGATATTAATAGGTCAGTGTCCCATGGCCAATTAGTCTTTGTTTCTAAACGTAATGTTTTCTGAATGGTACTTAATGAAACAATCTGTATGCAGGAGCCTAAACAAATGGCAAATGATATTTCTTTTTCTTATACATATCTACCTTACAAAAAGTAAGATTTTTCATGTCTAAATATCAGCTTAGTGTGCTTGTTTATGTTTTATAGCAATTTTGAAAACTTTGGAAACTTTCAGTAAACATTTTGCCACTCTTGGTGTTTGGTGTTTTGTTTCTTCATTATTGGGAACTCCTTGGAATTTTTTTTTCATTGTTCTATCTCTCTCCTTTGTGATCATCTCTCCCTTTCCCTCCCTTCCATCCTCCTGCCCCCTCTCTCTCATTCTCCCCCATCTCTTCTTCTCACTCCTCACCCTCCCTCCCTCCTTTAAATGCTTGGGGGAAAATGTACATCCTTTTTAGCATTAGAGTAAAGAATTAGATGAACCAATTGGATTCATGTATAATACTAGAAATGGCCAATTTTAGAAAGTTCAGTTTAAATTTTAAAAGGCCATTTATTATCAAAATACAAAAGGCAATTTTTGCTGGAGAGGATGTGGAGAAAGGGGGAACACTCCTCCACTGCTGGTGGGAGTGCAAACTGGTACAGCCACTTTGGAAATTAGTATGGCGGTTCCTCTGGAAAATGGGAATCAGTCTACCTCAAGATCCAGCAGTTCCACTCTTAGTCATATACCCAAAAGATGCACATTCATGCAAAAAGGACACCTGTTCAACTATGTTCATAGCAGCACTGTTTGTAATAGCCAGAACCTGGAAGCATCCTAAATGCCCCTCAACTGAAGAATGGATGGAGAAAATGTGGTACATTTACACAATGGAATACTACTCAGTGGAAAAAAAAATTAAATCTTGAAATTTGCAGGCAAATGGATGGAACTAGAAGAAACCATCCTGAGTGAGTAACCCAGTCACAAAAAGACAAACACAGTATGTACTCACTCATATATGGATTTTAGACATAGAGCAAAGGATCACCAGCCTACAATCCACACTGCCCCAAAAGCTAGGAAGCAAGGAGGACATGGTCCCCTGGAGAAGGGAAAAAGACTAGATTTCTCAAGCAAATCTGGAGCATGGGGTGAGGGGAGAGGGAGTTAGGAGGAAGAGCAGTGGAGAGGTGGGCATGAGGGAGCAGGAAGACTGAGTCAGGGAAAGAATAGAGGAGAGCAAGAGAAGGCATACCATGATAGAGGGAGCCATTATAGGTTTTAAGAGAAATCTGGCACTAGGGAAATGTTCAGAGCTCTATAAGGATGACCCCCAACTAAGAATCTAAGAATATTGGAGAGGGTACCTTTAATTCCCTTCCCCTATAATGAGATTGATGACTTCCTTATATGCCATCCCAGAGCCTTCCTCTAGTAGCTGATGGAAGCAGAAGCAGACACCCACAGCTAAACACTGAGTGGAACTCCTGGAATCCTGTTGCAGAAATGGAGGAGTAATGAGCAAAGGGGTCAAGACCAGGCTGGAGAAACCCATAGAAACAGCTGATGAGAACAAGGGGGAGCTCATGCACTCCAGTCTGACAGCTGGGAAACCAGCATAGGACTGACCCACACTCCATGAATGTGGGTGTCAGGAGAACTAGGCATTTCTATGGGGCCTCTGGTAGTGCATCAGTATTTATCCCTAGTATACGAATGGACTTTGGGAGCCCATTCCATATAGAGGGATACTTTCTCAGCCTAGACACATGGGGAAGGGCCTAGGCTCTGCTCTAGATGATATGACAGACTTTGAAGACTCCCCAAGGAAGGCCTCACCCTCCCTGGGGGACAGAAAGGGGATGAGACGGGGGTTGGTGGGAGGAACAGAGGAGGATGGGAGGGTGCAGGAACTGGGATTGACACATAAAACAAGCTTGTTTCAAGTTTATATTTAAAAAATTATAAAAAAATAATGGAAATACAAGTTGACAAGTAAACTGAAATACAGCTGCACAAATGAAGTAAAAAAATGGATCCGCTTTTTTAAAAAAGGCCATTTATAAACAGGTAGTTCAGAGGATTGAGGGAAAAACATTTTATTAGTTCACTTTGGTCCTATGAGAACCAAATAAACTTATACAGCCCACTGGAAGACACTGAACCATATGGAATAATTTTGAACCTGAAGATGAAAGTTCGTGGGGGTGGTAGTGATGTAAATAGATGTAATTTTAAATTTACATAAATGTGTGAGATTATTTAGGGAAGTATCCCTTTTTAAAAATGTACTTAGAATTTAAGTTGTGTCATTTTGACTTTAAAACCTCAGGCCAAGTTTGAACTGTTATAGGCAAGAGCTAATTGCATTTCCCTGGGTAGGTGTGCAATCTTTGCTGCTGGCAGGGACATACACTGTGGAAGAAAAGGCGAGAGAGAAGATGAAACAAGTAAAGGGAAAGAATACAGAAAGGAAAAGCCAGAAGGTGGGAGCATGGATAAGCATCCTTGGTTCTGCCTCTTTTGAGACGATATGATTCTGCAAAGGAAATATAATTTGTCTCTTGAAGGAAAAGAACTCATGGGATTAGAGGTTTGCATAACAAAACTTCTTTACATCCTGTGTGTGCTCGTGAAAAAGAATCTTTTGGAACAAAGCCAAGAATCCGGGCTTCTCATATCAGCAATGCCTTGATTCGTGTGGCCAAGGCTTGAGGCTGACTCCGTGGTGCTTTGTCTTCATCCATCACCTGGGAATCTGGGAAGATTGGTCTCCAGGGCCCTTTCTCATTTGCTGATTCTGTGACCTGCTCTGGTCCTCTGCACTGCTCTGTGCAATTGACTTTGATTGTTAGGAGCATGGGGAGGAAAGGACAGAAGGGACGGAGGGGCAAGGGGAATCAAACTGGATGTTCTCTTGAGGATGGGTCTATGTCTTGTTCTGTTTGTGTTCATCTAGAGGAATCCCCTGTCTTGGGGCTCCTGACAGAAGTGCTTCTCCTGGGTTTTGCTGGAGACAGACCCTTCTCATCTTCCTTTCCTTGATACTATTTTAATATCAAAAATATGCAGATCAGAAGGTCAGATCCTCCCACCAAGCGAGAGAAAGACCATTTAAAAGTATCCCTGCTTTGTCTGGAGTCAGGGTGACATTCTTCATGGTCATGGAGCACTGGGCAGGGTGTGCATGCCTTCAGACTGTATTTTCTGGACCTTATAGCATGTTGTGTTCAGCACATTCATGCTCAGACCTTTTTATTTTTTTCTTTAGCAAATAGGGGCTGATTATTTTATATTTTCCAGAAAGGTCACCTCCCCATTCAGACACAAGATCACACACACAAGAGAAACAAACATGTCTTAAACAATTTTAAAAAATCATTAGAAAAGATAAATCAGAAAGCCTTACTATTTTATCACAGTAAGTTGCATCACTCTGCATGTACCTTATCAAAATCCCTAAGACTGATTAAATTGGTAATATCGTTAACTATATCTATATCTATATATCTATATATATATATTGTATCAGTAAACAGAGGATTAAGGGAGACTCCAGAAGTGGTGACTTACAGATTTTAATGGGATTTTGCAGGACATGGATAAAATAACCACGAGGAACCATGACTTCCAGTTTTGTACTAACATCTGGTATTAGAGGTCTGCAGTTCACTCTACTGCGTCATATCCTGACTCCTCACCAGGAAATCACAGACTTTTGCAATTCTTTAAGCTAAGCCTTCTGCGGAGCTGTCAGAAAGCCAGCGATACACTGCCTTCGTATTTCAAAGTGCTCCTTGTGACAGACTTTGAGCTGGCTGGGAAAATCTCTGGGTTCACAGTTACAACTTAGTCAGTAAAGGGTCCTGTCTGTCCTGAAATTTCAAAACTCCCTGGAAGATCTATCCTAAAATTGATGCATAATGTAAACCAGCTTTGAGATGCAGGCATAAGTTTCCAGAATCACACAACACAACACAACAGCAACACCTGATGCGCTGGCTAGACGTCCGTCTCTAGATATCTCAATTTGATCCCTATAAAGCTCAAAGACAAGTTCAAATTTGTAATGAATTACAGCTCTTATTACAGAAACATCTTATTGGGGCAGCATGCAGGGTGAAAAGGGCCAAGGAAAAACATCCTGATCCTGATTTGGGAACAGGGGTTAAAATCCCACCAATCCCTGAGGTCCCTGAGCATTAATTAAATCCTACCAATCCCTGAACATGAAATCCCACCAATCCCTGAGTGCAAAAACCTACTAATCCCAAACCAGCCTAGAAAGCTGTGCCTCTCTCCCCCCTCCCCTATACCCCTGTCCAGGAACTCTATATAAGCACTGTACCCTGTTCAGTTTGTCAACCTAGAGGCAGCCACCCGCCTGGATTCTTTCCTCCCAATAAATCTCTTTTTTTAAAAAATAATTTTATTCATTTATTTATTTTATATAACCAAGTCCATTTAAATGAAAACAAATATTTATAGACAATATTTGGGAATTTGGGTGTCGATCTTCCCAAACTACTTCCTGCTGGTAAGGGGCGCTGTCATGGGGGATTCGAAGAAGATGCAGAAATCCTGGCTGTAGTCTGTAAGGCTGCTTTGTCCAGCTGTTTTGAATGTAGGATCACCTGGTACTCTGTTTCAGGCAGTCTGGCTTGATCAAACCTCATTAGTCTGGAAGGAATCCACAGCTTTTCATTTTCTGTGGAAACAAAAATAGAAATCCTTTCCCCTAGTAACTTGTCCTTCAACTTAAATTTTGGAGTTAAAGCATTTTTTTTTAATTTAATTTATTAGTTTACGTGTCGATCCCAGTTCCCTCTCCCTCCCTCGTTCCCTCCCTCCCTCCCTCCCTTCCTCCCTCACTTCTTCCCTCCCTTTTACCCTCTCTGCCCTCTCACATGCACTCTAAACACCCTCCCCTCCCATCCCCCCCACCCCAATTCCACATGTAGGGGAATGCCATCCAGTTGGGGTCATGTAGATCTGACAGGTCATGTGAAGTAGGGACTAGGGCTTCTCTCCTGTCTCTAGATTAAGGCAGTTATTCCTCCATGGGGGATGTGTTAGCAAGGTCCTTTTGTGCACTAGGGATACATCCTGGCTCCACTGTCTGAGGTCCCTTAGACTGCTCAGTTCTTCTATCTGAGACCCATATTCAGGGGGGCCCGAGTCAGTCCCATGCTGGCTTCCCAGCCATCAGTCTTGTGGCCCGTTAGCTCCTCCTTGTTCAGGTAAGCTGTCTCTATGTGTTTCTG